ATTATTGTTTGGACTTTGATAGAACTAATAACCCAATTCCAGGTAGTTAAAGAAGGCTTAGAATTGGAAAAATGCATTTTTAAAAACATCTGTAAGGCAGTGGCAGTGTGAGTGAAATATATGATAATGTAAGAATAATTTAGAATTTATCAGTTCAGGTTCCATCACAATATAACACTAAGCCCAGTAATTTCTATCATTTTTGAAGCTGTAGATTTTTTCACATGGTGAAGATGTAAACCCATAGCCCCCAGAGATAATTTTTAAATGGCCTTTAAATGTTCATCTACTATTATTCACATTCACTTGCATAGGTAAATAGAATTTAGACATACAATCTAGATAGAGGCATACAGACTGGGTAGCTGAACATCCAGTTTGCATTTACAAACTACATTATTTACCTGTATAAATAACTGTGCAAGTTTGGGTGCATAAATTTAGAGGCTGATTTGAGGTCTCTGAAAATGTGGCCCACAATGAATGAGCAAAATGACTCACCTGTTAGTTTGTCAAATTTAGGGCCAAACTTCAGATCTCCATATAGGATTTTTTTTTTGTTAGCTAGTCTTTTTTCTTGTCTTACATTTTGGGGGTTTCTTTGCTTTCAGAAAAGCAGTGAATCTCTGAAGTTTTTTCTCTGTCCATTGTATTTGGTAGTAACTCTCTTTTAGATTGAAGAGTGTTTCAATTGTTTTCATGCTAAGACATTATAGTTTAAAATTGTGCTACTTAGGTTGGATTCAACACATGACCCTCCAGGAAGGATCTTCTCTGGAGGAAGTTTTAAAGATTGCCCTTGAAAAGTATTTGGAAGATTTAAGCTATGTTAGCTCCCAAGTCAGTAAAGAACATGCTTTGGAGAAAGTCCTTAACAAAATGAAAATGGATTGGAAAGGTGTTTATTTTAGTTTTTCATCTTACAAAGACACAGGAATTCTTGTTCTAACAGCTGTAGTATGCATATAAAAGCATATGAATCTTAAATTGAAATGCTGAAGAAACTGTGTACAAAATCTTATTTTACCTTGTTAGAAGAGCTTTAATTAGTTCCTTTAATGACTGGAGGAGAGTGGTTTCTCTCGGTTTTATTTTCCCCCTCTAAACATGCATGAAACATTATCATCTCCCGCTGAAGCACATACAATATTTTAATTGCATTTCATTGTTCCCAAACCTAATTTGTTGAAAGTTAATTCTAACGATATCAGTGCCTGAGCTGAATCAGTGCTCACATGAGAGATTTGGTAAAATGAAATCTTTATACACAGTAAGTCCACCAGCTTTTTCAAACTACTTTTATTATCTGTCTTTAGGAAGATCTAATTTATTTTTAAGGGTGAGCTGCTGTTTAAAACATAAACATTACTACCAGTGAATGATAACTTTTTTCAGAGTACTCAACTCTCATGTATAAAAAATAACAAGGGATTCAAAAAGCTGTGTTTCTCAGAGTGATTTTTAAAATAGAATGGTTTGGTGATTGTGAATATTGGAATGGACATATTTTGAAGGCATCAAGTCTGGTTGAGCTATCCCCAGTATAATACCCAGAGTTGCATGTCTCTTCTGTGCTTTCCTTGAGCACTTTTTATTTTATTTTGAAAGGGTTTGCCATTTATTTATTTCCATCTATAGGATTTTAACAAGAGACAAATAATAAAACTAGCACCTAACAGCTAACCCTGCTCATGAGAATCAACTCTCAACAAAGATTCTCCACCCCCACATAACCCTCAGCCTCCTTCTGCTACATGCAAAGTAAGTAGATATTCTTTGTAGTAAGCCATGCAAGTGAACAACATTGGTTGGGCTAGAGCAGTGGAGGAAGTTGGTTCCAAACCACAGGTCTCTCATAGAGGACGCTGTAATCAAGATGGATCCAGCTCAGGCATCTCTACTGATCACAAAGACAGAGGCACATCTTAAGTAGGAGGGTCCCAAGCCATTTAGAACTTTATAGGTTAAAATCAATGCCTTAAACTCCATCTGGAAACCAGTAATCAGCCAGTGCAGATGGCCAAGTACTGGTGTGATGTGTAGCCAGTAGGAAGCACGCTTAAACAGACCTTCACTTTCACCACCTCCACCTCTACCATTTTAGGTTTATGGGTTGATTTAACGTGAAGTGCCATGCAGTGCACATTTCAGTAATCCAGTCTTCAGGAAACAAAGGCACAGATCACAATAGCACAAGGCCCGCATGTGAAAAAAATGGTTGCAATCTCCTGGCCTGACAGGTGAAAAAAGCATGCCTGACCACTGATCCTATATGATCATTTGGCAGCATCTGGGGATCTAACTTTGCTCCCAGATTCACAGATTTTAATTTGAGAAGGGACCAGTCTGATTTCTGCATCGGAGTTAGAGCATATCTTTCTATCCCAGTGATGGATTAAGCCCACTGTTAAACAGTCACATCTTATTTCCGGTTTCAGCTTTGAACTTTGCTGAGTTCAACTTCCAGCCCTCAACACTGGGATCACAGTATGAATCACAAATGTCAGGCAGTGTTTCATCCTCACCATTTCTTCTGGTTGCTTCTCGCAGCATGGAGACACTCAGATACAATGGCGATGGACAAGTATTTAAAAACCTAGATAGACGGTATCACTTCAGTCTTCTCTGGATCGAGCTTGAGCAAGATAGCTCCCATCCATGTCTCCCAATGGCTGGCTCGCTCAGTTGAGAAAGAGCAAGATGGGTGCTGTCAGCATACTGAAAATGCCATAAGCCTATCTTGTGGCAATCACCTGTGGAAATGGGAGAGATGGGATTGTATGCAACTCCATATAAAAGTGTCCTTTTGGGAATAGGAGCAATTGCCCCACACCGCCTTCTAGGGAATGTTCAACAAGGAAAGAACAAAACTATAAATGAGCAGCACAACTCACTCCTGCTGAAGGCCAAAGACAAGTCAGTACCTCATTATTGATGGTATCAAAGCTCTCAAAACAAATAATTCTAAAAATAGTGAAACAGAACCTCTGTTAATGCCATTGAGCTCTTTTTAATACATCTAGTGCATGGAATCGCTCCTCTAGAAGTTGTTGTTCTTTGCAGCTATTAACACTGCTTGTTGGAGGAGTCAAGACAAATGTACAGGAACCAGAAGTACTAGGCTAGAAGAAGGCCACTTTTGCAAAGAGGAAACTGAGTAGGGACAGACAAAATATGGTGTCAAAATATGTAGACAGGACACTCTTTTAAAAAATTGAGACCTGGCTCCTTAAATTGTGATATATAAATAGTCCTCATTTTCAGCATGCAGGAGCTTTCCTGTGGAGAAATTTGTAGAACAGATGAGCTCATCATTGGCTGAGCTCAAAGCAAGAGAGTAACAGAAACTTAATTTCTGTGCCAGTCCTTCTGTTTGCAAAATAATGTTAGAGAAAATAAAAATATTGTTGTTATGTAGCCCACAAAGAATGTTGTGGGGGCTCCCATGTCTTTACACATCTCTCCCATTAAAGTATTAGATTCTCATTGTATTCCAAAGACTAGAAGACAACAGCAGACAGCTAATAAAATACTAATCTAAGTCTTAAGGCTGAATTCGAGGAGTCCAGTTAAATTGGTTTAATCCCTCGTATGTGATTTGTTTCCTCCAGTATATGCTAGAGTGTTTGTCTTCCTTTGAAGCTTCCTAAATTATTGAAGAAAGTGTTGTGTTTAGGAGCCCAGGTGTCTCTTTTCCTCTAAGGAACAGCCCCAGTTCAGCTGAGAGTATCAACTGCCATTAACGGAACAATTCACAATCCTTTTCATTCCTTGCTACAGCTAACCCTTTCTGACTTGCTTTAAAGGCTTTGTTGGTCGGAAGATGTATGCTCCTCTCACTTGCAATTTCTTGTTGTTCTGAATGTTTTGGGCTTAAGGGGAGGGAATATGGCCATACGGAAATATCTTCCCTATCAAAGTGGAAACAGTTTTAGTGAGCCTTTAAGCAGGTCCCATAAACATAATACAGTAGATGAACTCTCACAGCCGTACTTTAAAGCCTGTTAAAAATGCTCTGCAGTGGATGCAGAGCCAAGTGCACAGTGAATAGTGTTTGTGTTATGACTGGAAGATGAATGACTTCTTAGTGAAAGAAAGTCTAATGTTAATTAAAACTTTTTCAGGGTTTGGGTGAATAATACCACATTTGTGGTGTTAAATCGCCTGTCATTTTAATTGCATGAAAAATGGACTGTGTAATGTTAGCAAATGTTCATATTGATTACAAGCCTCTTGTGTATGCTAACCCAAAGAATTAAATGTTTTGATTGTTTTTTTTGCAAAACAGCCATATTGATGATAAAGCTTGTACTATGAATATGTTGAAGGTCATTGTTACAATCTTTTACAGGGAGGACTGTCACCTTAAAGCAAAAACAAACAAAGATAAACAAAATCTACCTAAAATTGTCCAGAAAATCTTATTGTACTTACTGGGCTTCAGTTGTGTATTTCCAATTCATAGGGAGTTCACTGAACTCCCAGATCAAATACAAAAAAATTACACCAGGTTCTCTAGGAGACATATGCATTCTCTCCCTTTTTGTCTGCCATAGAGAAATAAGGCATATTCTCTCAATAAAGCAAAGGACAAGCTGAAATGGTTCAAACTAAAAAGTTACCGAAAACTGTAAGATATTTCAGAATAGGAAACAAACGGTAGGTCCTGTCTGATCCATCTGGCTTGCCTCCTCGTATGTCAGTCTGTCTCTCTATACCAAGTCGATAAAAATGATTAGAGCAGACATCTCACAAATGTACACCCTTAAACCATGAAGCGGTAATGCTGTGCAGGAAAATTTTTTCTGACCTTTTCAAATTACATCCAACTGCCTGGGGAATTTCGCAGTGACTAGAGGTAATAAAGTTCAATCCGTTTTGCTGGTTGGCTTCAAATTTAGCTCCTCAGAAGCCCTAACTTATCTGTTCTTTTTATCATGGCCTTGGCATCCATTCAGTACTGTAATCCATGCATCTAATCTTTTTTTCTCCCCTCTCAGGTTCTGCTGGAGGATCACATTGTGAAAACTATGGCCATGAAAGGCCCTCCATTTATTGCACCCTTCAAACACGAAATATTAGCATGGGAGGCTAAGCTGGTATGTTGCCTTTTGAGAGGCTCTTGTTGAATTTAATTAGCTTTTAGATTTCATCTCCATGCTACATCTCAGTTTTCAGCACCCTATGAGATTTATGCTTCAGTAATTTTCATTATATAAAACTTTTCAAAGTTTGCGGTGCTACTTGCACTGTGTAGAATGTTAAAAAGGAGGGGGGGGGGAAGCATAAAGTTCTTTATGTTAAATTGATTTCACTTTAGTTTTTATTGTGTGAGCCCAAATGCAATAGACACAGTCATCCGGTAAGTAAGTGAATCATCCAAGTGAGACTCACAAACAGGCAGCTGTGCTGGCCCATTCTTCATTGTGCTTCACAAAGTAGAGCAGAAAACAGAAGTTGAGACCACTTTCTTTTAACTTTGTAAGAATATAGTGGTGTTGAGTGATTTGTATCTGGTAACAGCTCACTTTATTTTTAATATGTGGTATAAATGGCATTTATTGGATGTGGTAAGGGAACACATACATTCCTCATTGCTTGCAACAAATGAAATTTCATGTTTGTTGTCTCCAGCATGACCAATGCAGGAGATTATGGAAACCTGGCTGCAAGTTCAAAAGGCCCTGGTGACCATGTATTGCTCACACGATATATGTAACCAAATATCAGTAGAAGGAAAGCACTTTGAAGTTGTCAGTAGGAACTGGTAAGTTTGTTGTTGTTAGCTAGTTAGGGTCTGATTCCCTCTCCACACCCTCTTTTTCCAGAGCTGCTTTTTGGACTCAATGAAAATTCTGCATGCAAGTGGGTATGAAGAACTGGGCCCTTATTGCAGTAGGTTCTCCTTAGCTTTGCTTAATCTTTAATTGTATCAGTCTAAAACAGTTACTACTTTTACCTTAATTTTCAGTAATGATAAAATTTCTCTTGAATGTAAATATAGCTAGATCTATATATGCATACTATAGAACAGTAGTTTTCTAAACTTTATACCATGATTTTTTCTGAGGTGTTCTTTTGGCCAATGGTTCTGAAGTGAAGGGAAAGATGGTCTACTGAATAAAACACAGGACTAGGAATTTGGAAATCTGTGTTTTGTATATAGGTCTGGCATACTGTGGTTGTGCCTCTTAGTTAAATCATTTAGTCATTCTGTGCCATGGTATTTCCATCAGTAAAAACAGGGATAATACTTTTACTGATGTATATAGTTATTATTATCACTACTGTTGCTATTACTCTTATTGCTATTTTTTATTATTATCATGCTCCCATGCCTCAAAGGGATGTAGTGAGGCTTACTTATTTAATATTTTTGAAGTGGTTTGAGATCCTCAGTTGGAAGGCAATATAGAAGAGTAAAATAGTATTATAAAGCATTCTTGATTTGTAAGAAAATATTTTGCATGTCCAATTGTTTAATCTACTTCCCTTTTTTGCAAACAAGATACCTTAGAAAAATGAGAATATCAAGTAAAAGTTTGAAGAAAAAATACGAAGTCACTGTAAGGAAAAGTGTGTATTTTTCTTTGAGGAACATGATTTTTCTGAAGCATTTCCCATGACATTTTTTCTTAAATTAAAAACCAAAACCCCTTGCCCTAAACTTTTCTTCACTATAACAAATCTTTTGCTGGCATCACATAGTTCACTCTCCTTATGCGTTATCCCCTTTTTCCCCACACTGTGTCTTGTCTATTTAGATAGTAAGCTCTTTGGGGTGGGGACTGTCTGTTGCTCTGTGTTTGTACAGTGCCTTGCACAATGGGACCTCATTCTTGGTTGGCCCTGAGGCACTGCTTTAATAAACATGATTAATAATCAATTGTGTTTTGAAGCCCCTTTTGACATGTCAAAAGAGAGGGAGAGAGACTGAGTACTCATATTTCACCATTACAACTGCAAATCTAATCTTACTATGGTTTTATGTCCTATAACATATGTTTAATGGTCTCAGAATGGAATCTAGTAAACTGTGGTCAATATCTAAAAACTGTCACTGCAATGAGCACTCAGTGTTTTGGCATCTGTCAGTTTCTACTAAATAGAGTGTAGTCTGGACTAGTATAGAGTATAGCCTAACCAGTTCATTCTCTATAGCTTAGCTGAGGGTTTGTGCAAAAATTGGAGATTTTACATCTTATTTTTAATCACATTGCTTCCATACTACTGATGTTTGCAATGTTAGAGATAGTGGGGTACATTTTAATCTGTAGGACAGCCATATTTCCAAATTACTCTGGAAAACAGTCATAAAACATGGTGAGAATAGTCCACTCGCACTGATTCTTACATTTTGAAAGTAGTTTAAACAAAATAACTGCCCCCCCGTTGAGTAAAACTTTCTTCTTTACGTGGTCATTGTTTTACTGCCTTGATTTCCTGTCCACGGAAAGCAGGCTGGGTACATGGATAGTCCAAAATTATTTTGTAAGGAAACAAGGTTACCCAGTGGCATCTTTCTTTTTCTTTCACTGCAAAGTTTATCTCATCTAAATCTAGACTCTATGGTGAATATCCTTGCTACACATATAACATCAAATACAGTTATTATATATGTACACACACACACACACACACACACACACACACACACACACACACACAGAGTAAATGTATTTTACCACCCTAAACTAATTGGTACTAAACTGGAGCTTTTAAAAAACAATACATTTAAGATAATATTTGTTCAGTGCAGTCAGCTAAATTGATTTTTATATTGATGTGTTTGTTTAATCTCACAGTTTTGAAACTTCTGTAATACACTTAGGTTTATTTCTTCATGGAAAGTCTTTACTAGTCTTTATTTTGAGCAAATTAGGCTTCTCTTGGTACTACAGCATTAGATTTGCCTCCTGATACTGAGACCAGCAACCTAAAGGACACCTTGTTTGCCAAGAATATCAGAACACTGAGAAATGCCTTATGGCAGTAGCAAGCTTTAGAATCTCAAAGTAAGGTCACCAGTGTTGGCTGTATTTATATATCATCTTGCAGTATGCGCTTTGAAAAACGTAGGCAACATCTCAGTTATTTATTATGACCCCTCTCATAATATTTTAAATGGTAATACATCAGGGTGGTATTATTTTGAGTTGCATATAAGATTTTAAGACTGTCACAATATGAGTTTTCTTTTAATGCACATGTGTGTTATCAAGCTTGTTTTTATATTTATAACCATGAATGTTGCATGGGTACAGTTCTGAGGGGCCTTTAGCTTTTCCTACCACTCTGAAAGTTTTCAGCTTCATAAGTATTTAAAATAAACTTACACTAATAAGTAGAAAGGATTTCTCATTCATTTTCACATCGTTCATCATATTTTGTCAGTTGTTGACTGCATCTGTTGCATAAAAGAAACTTGCGGTGATGTCTAAATCTGTAAATTTCATTTTTTGGAGGTGTTTGTGTAGCAGCAGCTTTGACTTATTGCTAGTACTAGAGTAGAATGTATTTTTTCATTCCTGATTTACAATATTGAAATGTTGTGATGGCAGCGGTAAACTGGTGGACAGTTATACATTTTTGCAAAATAATGCATTTCAGTTTTACCTCTTTGCTTCAGTCCAGAGAAGAACATACATAGTGGATCAATATTTTATTAAAAGAAAATCCTGTAGACTGTGTTCAAATAGTACAATCAGTGATGCTAAAACATGAGATTGCACTGTGCACAGCAAAGGACTGATGTGTTGTCTGGCTTTGTTGTTGATAGAGCATTCTCTATTGTCTTATGTTATTTCTATTTTTATCATTAGTCCATGAAGTCTTAATAATTAGCTCTGTAATTTGCCAGAAAAACATGTTGATTTATTGAACTGGCTGAAGCAAAAAATAGCAGATCAAGCTGGCATTGTAGGTTAATAGTACAGAACAAAGCACAGTCATAATTAGATGAGAAAAGGACTTTCCTTGTTCATTCCACTTTATAATAAAAAGTCCCTCAGCAAAGTGTCTTAGAAAATAATGCATTCAGACTGAGTGGAATTACCGCCTAGCAGATTCTATTTATCTGTAGCTTAAAAAGCAGCTGCGTTTTTGTAAAAAGCAATGAATGTGGCAGTCCTACTTAAAGGTAGAAGAAAAAGAACACCCCTTGTTTTGTAATAAGGGGATTTTCAATTTAAAAGAGAGAGAGAGCCTGTTGTGTGAAGTATGGTTATTACATTCACTGTATTCTATCTCACCCACCAGGAGGCTAATAATGAAGGAGTCAGTGAAGGAGGCCAATGGCATGAGGGTTATCTCACAGCCCCAGATGCTGGATAAGTTGAAGGAGGCAGAATCGCTTTTGGATGACATTCAGAAAGGCCTGAATGATTATCTGGAGAAGAAAAGACTATTCTTTCTAAGGTAAACAGTCCATTTCATCTGTTGGCTATGGGCATTGATATAAAATGTGTTTATATAAATATCTATAAAGTCCATTTTTTATCACCTTCAGGTTTTTTCTTTCTGTGCCACGATGAGCTCTTAGAAATCCTTTCTGAGACAAAGGATCCACTCCAAGACCAACCACACCTAAGTAAATGCTTTGAAGGAATTGCCAAGCTCACTTTTAATCAAGAGAAAGAAATTACTCACATGGAGTCAGCAGAAAATGAAAAAGTAGAGCTCGTGCTGCGAATAATTCCAGCAAGTGCCAAGGGGCTAGTTGAGAAATGGCTTCATGAGGTGAATATCTTTAGCTCTTACTTAGGGTTTAGTTACTGTATAATCATTTTCTCTTTTAGGAGCAAGGAATATCATAAGCATATTTCCTAACTAAATAGCTCTCTGAGAATTTACCAGATTATTTAACAGATTGAATATCAGCCTTATTGTTGTTATTTATTACACCTAGTTGACATGTGCAAACATGCAAAAATTAATTTTAATAAAGAGGTTATCAGTGTGTGAGACAGTTAATAAAAGTGTGTGTGTCTGAAAGCATATATGTGACTATATGTTCAAGTCTATATATATGTATTTTTGTTGTCTTCTCCCTGTAATTTTTGTAGTTTGGAAAGATAGACTTTTTTTTTACAAAGCAGTTTAAAGGAACGTGAAGAGATTTTTTGCACACCCCTCTCCCCCAGAAAATCTTTATTTTCAATACATATTAAGCAAAGGGAAGAGAAATATTTAATTAACAATATACTAACCTTTCCCCTTTGGGCCTATGATCCAAATCAATCCGTTTCAGTGTGAAATTAGTTTGATGACCTTTTTTGTTGGCTTTATTTTTACCTTCCTCTGTTACACAATCAAAGTGGGTCCTTCCTCTGATATACAATTCTAGGCCAAGTCCACTTCCAATCTCTCCTTCTTTCTTTCAAGACAGAATCAGCCCCAGGTACACATCTTTCCTTTCTGTTGTTATTGCAGGCACTGCTTTTACCCCATTAAATCTCTACCTTTACCTCTTGCCTCTCTCTTCACTTCAGGCTGTCAGCCAACCAGGGTATACAACTGAGAAAAGCAATACCATATACTAGAAAGGGAGAAAAGGAAAAACAAAACAAAACCAAAAAACACACACAGAATTTTTTTCCAAGATGGACTCTGCTGCGGGGGGCGGGAATTTGTCAAAGGAACTGAGAGTGAACTTTAACTGAGAGTATTACTTCTGTTATGTGCCGAGTTTCTGCTGGCCGGGTGAGCAAAACAAAACAGCTCAAGTCCTCTCATGATTCCATGTTTCCCACATAACTGAGCCACATATCACCATGCCAACTTAGAATTAATCTTTTTTAAAGTGACTGCACACAATTTAAAACAGTTCATCACAGTTAGTCAGGGGACGATAAGGACAGAGCCTGCTTAGGCACAAATACTTCCTTCCCTACTCTCCAAAGAAAATTATTAAACTTTATTTTTATACTCATTTTCAGCACAATGTTATGTTCTTCGGAAAAACATTGGAGTTAGAGAGCTGTGATGGTATGAGATATGCAGTTATGAGGAGCCTAGGAAAGGCAGATCTCACCATACCGGAAAACCTGCTGTATGTTGTTTAGTTCTCTCTCTCCAACAAAAGAGAGAGAGAGATAGGGAGATGAGCAGCTGTGTTTATTTTAATACATCTCATTTAACCCTCACCGAAAAACAAATGGAAAGGTTTGGGAGTGCATTAATCTGGACCCAATTAGCATCTCTTTCTCCCTCAAAAGTGCAACCTGTGATTAATGAATATAAAGTAGAGTTTCATATGCAGTCTTTAAATCATTTGCATGTTTTATGCATGATAATTGAATTTATTTATGCACTTCCTTTCATTTAATGATTTCCTGCTCTTTCCTGTGCTATCCACATTGTACTATCCAAGAAACAGGATTTGATAGGCAAGCAAGGATAGGAGTAGATAAATAAAACCAAGTAAATTTGTAGGTCTAATGTCAACTGCAAATAAAAATTAATGGGTTAATGTAAAATATTTTAGTTAAAGTATATGCTCTTAGCCTTTTCAGACACTTTGGATATTGCTTAGTATGCTTGTAAATGTACAAGCAAAATTATTTTCAAAAGGCCATGAAAGGCAGTTAAATTATTGTATTGACATTTCTATGACCCTGGAGACTTGTGTTTCAACTTGGCCAATTAGTAGTAATAAGATAATCAGAAGATGAATAGTAATTACATTAATAACTAATGGTATTCAGCCCAGGACCTAGAGAATCAGTCTGGTTTAGAATATAATAGTACATTATAATTTGTCTTATTCAGTATTTGATCAGTAGAAATATGAGCATTGGATGCCTAGTAAATTTATCATAGGCAGGATGTATACGTTCTAGAGATCAGTTTGCCACATTACTGGCCCTGTGATTGTGCCTGTAAAGTGACATAATGGGGAAAATTGCTTTTTCCCCCCATTTAAGGTCAGATGTCCTAGTGATTCCATGGTGCTGGTGTCTGAATTCTTTACAATGCAAAGTCCATCCTTGCGATGGTCATGCCAGGAAGCTACTTTGGGAAAGGTTTTTTTTTTTTTTAAAGGATTCTGGTAGTGTTTCTCATAGTTTTGATTTGTGCCAGTGCTTCTCTTGTCTCTTGTCTTTCCTTCTGTGTTTAAAGATGTATGTGGAAGTGATCTTTTTCTGTGGTGTCCTGTCTTTTTCAGTGACTTAATTGGTTGTGTGTTGTGATTGTTTCCTGATCTTTGTAGGTAGGAATGTCTTTAAAGGCTAAAGTTCTGTTAATTTGTGATGTAACAATTTCAGTGTGTTTCTTGTCATTGAAATGTAGTTTAAAATGTTCAGTAATGTAGCATGAAATTATTGGTTAGTTTTGAAATGGTTGTGAAATCATGTGAAGAAAATAAGTATTGCATCTGATCAAGATAAATTCACTCTAGTGTTTTATGGCTTTTTATTCCTATGTGATAGTAATAAAGTCTCATGTAGGGATGGAAGCCATGAAATACATTGTGAAAAATCATCAACTAAGATGGGGCCATGAGTATAGAAAATGGTATAGTTGTAGAGCTACTGAAAATTGTTGGAAAATGATTTAGTATGTCACCATGTTGATTACCATGTTTGCATTTTATTTCTTCATCCCTCACCCATGTAGTTTGGCAAGTAAGGAAATTAGTTTATAACAGGTTGATTCACCTTTACATCAATGTTAAATGTTTAAATTGTTTATACATTTTTTTTATTTTCTACTCAAAATAACACTGTACATGAAACGCTAAACTAATTAGTTAATACTGTTAAAAAAAAACAACAAAACAAAACAAAAACCCAACTTGTGAATTTCCAAATTCACGTTATTGCTACCTTGATTAAGAATGAAACAAACTAAGGTATCCCATTAGTCCAGGGTCCAGGTTTTTTTACTCCCACACTCAATAATAGACATGAATGATGAGCTAGCATGTAAATAATAATTCTTTTTCTATTGACATGTTTTTCTCAAAGTATACATTCTCTTCTTTTCCTCTTCTGGAAATAAGACAAGGGATTATAGCTCTGAGGGCAGAAAAAGCACCTGTGAGAATGTTCATAATAGTGCCAACATCCCATATATTGCTTTACTATCCAAGTTTTGTCAATCTTTGTATATCTTTCTGTCTTGGGTGTCATTTTGTTTGTGGGATACTTCTGTGAATGTGAGTCATTCTTATATAACTAATTTATTTTTACAGCCTTCTTTCTGTATTCTTTCTCAATGCACATTAATAAAAATATTTTTGTTACTTTGCCTCTTTTATTTCTCTGAAAAACTGTGGATTTCTTGTCTGTTTTCAAAAAAGGGATACACTTCCATTAATTATAAATAGGCAAATCCTCTTCTGATATAAAACCCTGGAGACAATTAAGTAGAAAAGATATTTCCCCCTGTATTTCAATAGGTTTCTCACTTGTAACTTACATGTTTTTTAAAAAATAATTGTCAGTGTGAATAAAATAACACCCCAAATATTTTAACCTTAATTAAATCACAAGTGCAGTTTGAATTTGGTAATTATTGTTTTGGTTTACAAAGATGTTAGAGGTTGTTTATATCATTACTGTCTTGTGGAGCAATAGTTGCGTAATTTGCAAAGCAAGTTACAATCAGACCTCTATTAAGAGGCAAAATATTTGCTTCCTTGTGTTTTAATGAAATTGCTTCCAAGATTATAGAGGTTGTACTACCTAGAGAGTAAACTGAGCTTGTTAACCAAAATAGAAGAAAAATGATACAGATAAAAATTGTCTTCGTCATTTGCCCCCAAATGTTTTCAGAATGTACTTTGCATATGGCAGCTCATTTCTGGTAATCTGTGAGAAGATTGTTTTAAATAGTTTCAGATGGACTAATCATAACATATTAGTCTCTTTTTCTCTCTTCCTCCCTATTCCCTGCCTAAGAATAAATTTTAGTTGAATTCCATTTTTGTCACTTCTAAATAATATGCAATTTGAGGATTCCTTTTCATTTTCAGCACCACAGGGCAGACTCTTTTAACGTATGTGTGCTTATACTCTGAAAATTAACTCTACAAATTGCATTATAGGGCTCTATGTTTATTGCCTCCAAATGATTTCGAGATCTAAATATGCTCAGTTTTCAAGTAAAAATATATTTTTTTCTAACTGCCAACGCTGGAGACTGAACTTGGGATCTGAAAATAAAGCAGAGTATTTTCCTTTTCACACAGCACCACCAGTAACAAAGGGTTTTTTAGGCTAAGTTATGCCCTCAATTACAGCAGTACAACCCCCTACCACCATTGTCTTCACATTATATCCTCAGCAATGCTTATGCAAAAACATTGCTCTCAGTGGGTTTGCACAGGTGTGACTAATTGGAACTTCGTAAATAAACCTGTTGATGACTCTCACAAGAATGAATACAATCCAGATCACACTCTGTTTTGGCTCAGTGGGGTGAAAAGTTGTGAACTCTTATTTTTGTCATTAACATAAGTACATGTGACTCTGGAAACACAGAGGGTACAGATTTGTTGTGTAAAAAGATGTCATTTTTAAATAGGCAATCTGGTGCAGTGCAAAACTATGGTAATCCAAGGTTGACCCTTTCTGCTTTGAATGCAGTATAAACCTCACTACATGCAATGGCCTCTCTCCATCTTTTGTCAACAAGAGGGGCTGAACTCAGGACTTCCAGAGCTGAAAATACCTGCAGCTTGAGCTAAGGTGCAGGCTGGGGCCTATAACAGACTCTTATCCTCTGTGGATTGAGCACAGAAGGGGATACAAACACTCTTAGAAAAATGCATATACATTTCTTGACACATGGAGCAGGTTTATGCAATGGGGAGAAGCTGGTGTTTTCCCTATAAGTGGTAGAAGGTTTCACCTTGCCAGGTTTGTTTGTGCCGTTTGAGATATAGCAAAACATTAAAAAAGTAAGAGCGGTGGCTTCCTGGATCTACCTAAAGAAAATCTATGGTGTGTTCCCCCAAGTTAAAGTTACAAATCTGTCCACAGAAATAAATACAGAGAAATGCCAAGAGAGTTATAAAATGATGAAACAACATTAATCTTAAACTAGTTCCTGTGACCAAGCTACCAGAATGACCCTATGGTACCTTTTCACTATGTCGCCTTCCCCTCCCGCTTTCTGTAAAATACCTGGGCCAACTTGTCTGCTGGCATAACTCCATTGATGTCAGCAGAGTCTCTTGTATTTATTTGTTTGTGCCTGTGGTTTATAAATAACTCATCTGTGGATAGGGAGTGAAACTAATCTTAAGTGACCGTCCCAGGGATTAAAAAATATTGGTTGTCTTGTAGATGTAGGTTTTAATTAAATTCAAACTGGGCAATTTGGGGATACCTTAGTGATCCATTCAGAGGGGATTATGGGGAGTGGAAGAGAGGAAGTGGGTAACTACAGTATAGAAATCACTTCTCACCAAATTATTTCCCCCCCACATCTCTGGCAAGGATGTGGATATTTGTTTGGTGCCCCAGTGGAAGGGATTTGTTTGTTCATGAATCCTGTAGGCCTTCATCAGAATCCATCTTTTAATTTTGCACTCTAAGGGTTCAGTGTTCCAGTCCAAGGTGACACCTTGCCTGATGACAAATAAAGTATTTTTCTCTGTGTCAATTTGAGTAACAAGTCAATTTTCTGAAATGTGGTCTCTTGTCAGAAAAAAGGAATGTTTTGTCGTTGGGGTGAAATGTTAAATTCAAAGCTGACTGAAAGTTGTTCCTCCAGTAAAGTGTTGAATATTGTTTTTTATACCATAAGTGTACATATTCTGTCTGTTCCATGTAGTTTAATTGCTGAGCCTGAACCTAGGAAAAGTATTACTTAGGCTAGAGCTTCCCAGCCTTCTCCAGTAGAAACACACAGTTTAATTTAAAAAAGTTTACTGTGGATCTGAAATATAAAGACTTTTAACTAGATTCTGTATTTATTTGGCTCACAGAAAATCTGTTGATGTAAATGCAAGTTCTGCATGCTGACAGAGTCCAGCATGTGTTTCATACCTAGTGTGATGATTAATGATTTAATATCAACAATATTTCATGCTGTTCAAAATATGCATATAGATCATGATCCAGCGTTCATGCTAGGTAATCTTACAGGTATCCAGGATTTAAACACTATCCTGTAGGTCTTTCTAGATCACTAAAAACAGTATGAAGTTCACATGGAAGTGAAGAATAAGCCATTAGAGATCTCTGAAAGAAAGTATAATGTATTCTCTGAGGCCAACACCACTAAATAAAGAGCAGTTGCGTTCTGCACTACCTGTCTCTTCAGCAAAAAGAAAAGGAGTACTTGTGGCACCTTAGAGACTAACAAATTTATAGCAGCCTTTCAGGGTAACCTCATATAAAGTACATTACAGTTATCCAAGCTGGATGTAACAAAGGAATTGTTAATGGCTTGAAGGACCATAAGTGAGCTGTAGCTCACGAAAGCTCATGCTCAAATAAATTGGTTAGTCTCTAAGGTGCCACAAGTACTCCTTTTCTTACTGGGAGAGGGGTGTGTGCACTGCAAATATCCATATAAATGCAGACTGAAGGGGCCACTTCTGGCCATTGACACTACCTTGTTTTTTCATTGCCCTACTAGCATTACCTGTATCTTGTCTGGAATGATTTCCATCCCCCCTACCCATCCAAACGCCTATACTAGCTGGATACTGGAAAACTAGGCACTTTACTATATGACAAAATGTTTATATGGTATCTCAGTTATATGACTGATAATAAAATATATATATTTAAAATACTGATCTGGAGTTTTATGATTTGTTTATTCAGTGACTTTTATTCATTAATGGGTTTAATTTGAGTGGTGTTGCTACATTGTGAGCTTGGTATGACACTGCTTTTGGCATTATTTAACTGTAGCTTTCTGTTCCTTAAATTATTTTCTAAAATAATGTTTTCGGTATATAATATGTATATCTACTCTGTAATCTTTGTGAATTACCACTTCACAGAGTGGATACAAATCAATGATTTGTTTAAATCAATATTTTATTTAATATG